AGGATTCCTGGTTCCAATACTTATTGTCTGTGTTACTCTAGGGAAGTCACTTTAAGTCTTTGGCCCTTGTCAAAAGAGAGGTATTGATACTTGTACTTGTTACTTCAGAGGATTCTTGGGATACCAGAGCTTTTCATACTCTAACATGGTATAGAATTAAGCTATTATAATGACGATGATTGATATCCCTGATTTCTCTCTTGTTCCTATCCCCATCTGTGAACTATATGCCTTTTTAGGTCCTTTCCAAGACTAATGAGTGAGATGTCCCTATGAAGACTTCTCAGTGTAATTAAGGTTTGGGATAAGACTATCCTGAATTTGGAGATAAAATAGGATAAGTATAGATTTCTATAGTTCTCCTTCTCTCCCAGTGCCATATCATCAGTTAAAGATTGCCAAGCCTGAAACCCCTCCCTGTACCCCCATATTCTGTTGCTACATTCCGGTCACGGTGACCTTCCCACAGCAGAGTCTAGCTTGATCGCACATTCTAAATTGTTCATTTTGGCAGCAAAACTAAGGTGATGGATATGTATATTGTTTCTTTGTTCTCTGTGGGAATAGATTTTCGAGTTTAGATTGTCAGTCAAAATATTGGTCAGTTGGTAGGAGGGGGAATTTCTTTGTTAGGGCTATTTAATCTGGCTTTCTGCTTCTGTACTCTGTCTCCTTTCATCAGACCATACTGGTGGAAGGACACCCGATTCTCGAGAATTGAAATAAACTTTCTGTTCCTACCCTGAGATACCTCTAAGTGTTTTTTTTTTTAGGTCTCATCCCACACCCTAAGAACCTATTGAATTTTTTTTTTTCCCCTGGATACTCCTGTGTAATCTCAAACTCAGCGCATCCAAACTATTTCCCAAGTCCTTCCAACTTCTCCTATTCATCTTATGGCTCCTTTCAATTTTCTTTTGCTCTCAACCATCCACATCTCACTCCCTAAGCCTGGGTGTCCCTCAAAGCTTCACCCTGGGTCCTCTTCTCTTCATATTGCACACTGCATATACTCTATCCACAGGTTCCCAAAGTGGACAACACAGCCCCCTGGGGGTGCTGGAATGACCCAGGGGAATGGTAATAGCCTGTTTGCAATTGGGGGGCATTGAATAAAAATAAGGGGGAGGTGGAAGCATAAGGAAAGAAGAGAAGAAAATTTTGAAAACCACTCATACATATTTCATCTGTTGTGTAACAGAGTTACAGTCATAGTGATTACATTATTTTCCAAATAAACACACAAAAGGCAAGTTATAACTGATCAGTGGTTAAGTCCACTGACAGGTCTTTACAAGCAAGTGTTGACAGGCAAATGCATTGTGAATTGTCAGGAAGTCCAGCATGCATCGGCAGGAATATCTGTGTGTAATGATTTGTTTACAATATGATACTATATATGATGTAATATTGCATCATCAAAATTTCAATGTAGGAAAAAACCACAAATTTACAATAAATTCTTAAATTTAAGATGCATCATTTAAAAAAATATATATTTTCTATTTTTTTGAAATGACACAAATTTTTAAAAAACCATTAAAGGGTTAAAGAAAGTAGATTTCCAGAGGGATTTTTTTTTTTAAAAGGGAGCAGTAGGCCAAATAAGTTTGGGAACCTCTGCTCTATACTCTTCACAGTCTGCACGAAGGAGTGAACTCCTTGGTGAACTTATCAGCCTTCATGAGTGCAATGATCATCTCTATGCCAAGAAAACCTAAATCTATGTAATAGCTAGCCCAGTACTAGCTATATAGTGCTTTAAGGTTTGTAAAGTACTTTACAAATACTTTACAAGTACCATCTCAGTTTATCCTCACAACAGACCTTGGGGTAGGTATTATCATCCCAATTTTATGGAGGTTAAGTGACTTGTCCAAGGTCACACAGCTAGGAAGTGTCTGAGTGAGGATTTGAACTCAGGTGTCTTCCTGACTTCAGGCCCAGTGCCCTATCCACCGCACCACTTGACTGCATCTTCTATGGTGAACACTGTCCAGTGATCAAAAGTAAATGTCTAGGCCTTCCTATTGAAGATATTGCTAAGAAACTTGGGGGACTATGGTCTGAATAAGAGTACAAAGATAAACAACCTTATAAACAGAGAATAGTCAAACTGAAGGATTGTATCAAGGGCAAGGAAGGTGTATGAAAGAAGAGCCCTGGCAGGTCAATAAGATCTAAGGAGAATGAACCAGGAGGAAATAAGGAGGAGGAAGAAGAGTAAATTAATATCCTGCATCAAAGATAGGAATATATGAATATCCTGCATTCTCTTCAATTCCAGTACCACATCACCAACTGCTTGGATGTCCTATTGGCTCCCCACCACCACATGGGTGTCTCCTCGGCATCTCACCACCTGAGTTGACATCTTAGCACTTGGGTGTCCCTTTGGCATCTAACCACCTTTGTTTGACATCTTAGCACCTGGGTGTCCCTTTGGCATCCCACCACATGGGTGTCTCCTTAGCATCTCAAACTCACCACATCAAAAACAGAACTCATCTTTTCCCTCCCTTCGCATCCTCCTCATTACTCAAATTCAAAACCTCACTTGTTCTTGATTCTTTCCCTCCCCTTCACACTCCATACTCATTGTTGCCCTATCTTATCAATTTTACCTCTCTAAGATGTCTCGCATCTGCTCCCATCTCTCCCTCACACAACCACCTCTACTTCAAGCCCCCCTCAACTCCTTCCTGGAATTATTCATTTCTTACTTAGTTTCCTTGATTTTAGTCCCTTCTCCAATTTTATCTTCTAGGGCAGAGGATTCCCAGCTTTCTTGTCTTGGGATGCCCTTAGCATCTATAATTTTTTCCAATCCAAACCTAATAGTTCCATTTATTCAGTAGTTAGGTTGAAAAAAATTTTAATATCCTGTTGTGTCCTTGTGAGTTTATTGTGGTGCCCTAGGGCACACAGTTTGGAGCGAAGGCTTTTGCCAGTTACCAAAACAACCTTCCTAAGGCATAGATCTCAATCTGTTACCCCCACCTGCTCAAAAGACTAGGGGCTTCCTATGGCTTCTAGAATAAAATACAAACTCCTCAGCTTGTCATTTAAAGTGCTCTGCAATGTGGTCTCAAACTACCTTATTTTACATCCTGCTTCTCATACTCTACGTCAGATTGGATTAGCTGTTGTCTGAACTCAGTATGTCACTTCCATGCATTCTCACAAACTTGTATTTACTTATCTGAGTATATCATATCACCCAGTAGAATGTAAGCTCTTTGAGGGCAGGATAAGTTTCATTTTTGCCTTTGTATCTCCATCACTTTGCAAATGTCATCTTTCACATAGTAGGGACTGAATCCATTTTTGTTGAATTGCATTTCCCTATTTCTGTTAATGGCATCCTCATCTCTTAAGTCAATGAAGCTCAAAACTCCAATTTTCTTTGATCCTATTCTCTCTTTCATTCCCCACATCCAATCAGTGACAAGAACTTGCTGATCCTTGCCCTACAGAATGTGAGAACTGGCAGGGACCCTAGATCATAGAATGCCATAGCCAGAAGGTACCTTAGCACACAGAATGTCAGAGCTGAAAATAACTTTAGACCATATAAAGTAGAAAATCAGAGCTGAGGGAAGGTGCAACAGATCATTAAAGTCCCTTTCATTGTACCCAGGAGGAAACCGAGGAAACTCCATAGAGGAGAAATAAATTTCTTAGTGTCATAGAACTTACTTAGAAGTAATAGAACTTGGATTTCAACCCTGTTCTCATGAATTAGTCCAGGCCTCTTTACACTATATTGTCACAGCCTCCCTTAAAACCCCTAGAAAATTGCAAATCAGGGGAAGCTTTCCCTCAATGATGCCATTCCGTTTGGATAACTGCTCACCTTCCTGTCACCCATATTCCTATCATTCAATCTGTGCTGAATTCATTCCACTGGGTTTCTCTGGTACCTTGACAGTTTCTGATCCTATTTTCCTATCTGTAAAATCAGTAGTTTGACTAGATTGAGGTTCTTAACTTTGGGTCCATGAACTCATTTAAAAATATATTTTGATTGGGGCAGCTAGGTGGCACAGTGGATAAGAGTACTGGCCCTGGAGTTAGGAGGACCTGAGTTCAAATCCAGCCTTAGACAGCTGTACATCTTGGCCAAGTCACTTAATCCTGATTGCTTCCCCCCACCCCTGTTGTTTTTTTTTTTTTGATCACTGTATTTCAATGTGATTTCCTCTGTAATCCTTTGTATTTTATTCTATGCATTTAAAAACATGATTCTGAGAAGGAATCCATGGGCTTCTGCAGACCAACTGCCAACGGTGTCCAGAACTGGGCTTAGATCATCTTTAAAGTCCCTTGCAGTTCTAAAAATTCAGTGCCCCTTAGCCTTAGACTGGACATCTGAGACCTGTGTTATAGTCACATTCCCATAGCCTTTCATTGTGATCTTAAGGAAGTTCCTTCACATATCTGGCCCTTAGTTTCTCCATCTGAATAAAGGAGGATGTTGTATCAATATGGTCTCTGCAGGCCCTCCCAGCTCACTCTCTGTTCTAAGGTCAGCTTTTTTCCCTGTTCTTGCAACTCTGACATTTTATTATGCAGACAGTCTTAAATCTAACTTTCCCATAAATGTGTGTGTGTGTGTGTGTGTGTGTGTGTGTGTGTGTGTGTGTGTGT